GTGGATTCGTCCGAAGGAGGCGGACCGAAAAGAAAGGGTCGGAACGAAAAGAAGAATCAGGCGGGTTTTCTCCGCTTTGAAGCAATATTGGAATATCGGACCAGGTTGATCTTCTGCTGGGCCCTAGATATACACAGTATAGAAATTGGGTAACTTAGATTTTAGGTGTACGCTTCCTTTAAGCTATATAGGCGCTGCGTTACATCCAAGCGAAAGGTTCCCCGCAGAAGGAATTTAAGAATACTGGAAACGGAACATGAGGATGTGCTGCATGTGGAAAGACTTGTCTTGACGAGCGAGCTGCACACAATGCTTCTTCCGGATTCAGGATACATTCATTCCGAAGGAAGTTATGGCGCTGCGTAGTTTGCGTGATTCATGCTGATTCCGCAAAAAAATGAAATTTCGCGGAATTCTCGGAATGTCGCGGAATCCCGAGAATGCGAACTTGCGCGAAATTCCGGGAATTCCGCGATACGGAAATTTTGCACATTCTGTGAGCGGTAAATTCACACATCCCCCACAATGGTCGGCCACCTCATCGTGGCGTGGGGGTGACACTGGGTGTCGAACTGCGATGCCGAGTGTATCTCTGGAAGGGCCTCCCAAGTTGTGAAGGAGTTCGACGTTTTCGGTTTTGGCCGGATGCCTAGCTAAGAGCCGGCTAGGCCAGATCCACCTCCGTCTGGTTTTCAGGTCTTAGGCGGTTGTCCCCGCTCCAAGCTCGGGGTCAGCGATCGCCCCGTGGAAATCAAGAGTTGGGGAAAAATTTCATTACTCTACCAGTTAGAAGAATAGAAAGAAACCCTGAAACCGGATGGTAGCAAGCCTGATGTCAGGGTCCTCAGGGCACATTTTGGATTGGACAAAAACGACACTCTGCCCGGACGACACCCCACGGAGACTGCCTCATGCTCTGCACCTACAACGCCAGGACTGTCTCCACAAACACCGACCTCCACGCTCTTCTCGACGCTGCAGAGCACATCAAGTATTACATCATCGCTCTGCAGGAAACGAAGTCCAGGAAGAAGGACGTGCGACAAATGAATGATGGGACGCTCATCATTCGTGGTGAGAAGCTTCCATCATGAAACGTGGAAGGCGTTGGCTTCGTCGTCCACCCATCTATCGTCCATCTTGTTCGCACGAGATCCTATCACCTCGACTAGCCATCCTACGACTACGCCCTCCACGTCAGAAGACCATCAGCATCATCAACTGCTACTTGCCAACATTAGCAGCTGACGACTAAGAACTGTATGCTTCCTACGAAGACGTGGAGAAAGTCGTCCGCAACGAGAAGTCCTTTCAAAAGTGTGTTGTGGGCGACTTCAACGCGAAAATCGGGATGCCACTAAAAAAGGATTATAGGATCAGGAAATTTAGATATGGACTCCGGAACGAGAACGGCAAGCGCCTCGTTGGGCTTTCTCCCGCATGACTTTTCCATGGAAATCCCATCTTCATGAAGAAAGAACATCGCCGGTGAACATGGGAATTGCCCAACGGAACGACTCACGCGGAGATCGACCACATTCTCACCAACCGAAGGTGGAGCTTGCTCAAAGTCTCAGTAGTTCCATCCTTCTGCAGTGGCTCCGATCACCGCCTCCTTGGAGCTAAGATACGACTCAGCCGAAGGCTGGAAAAGAAAGTCTATCACAGTGCCGCGAGAAGGAAGGAAGTCGTTTATGACGGTAACAGGCTGGAGGAGCTCATATCAAGATGTGACTAGCCCATCGAAAAGGACCCAGCGTACGGCTACGACCGGCTTCTGAAAGGATTGCGTGCCTGCGGAGAGTGCGCCTCAACTTCTGAGAAGAACTTGGAACGTATTTCGAAGACCACCAAGGAATTGCTCGAAAGAAGAAGATTTCTGAGGCAGGATCCGAATGCAACCCATCTCGAGCAACTGATAACTAACGCCAGTTGCAGAACAGCTTTGCAGGAGAATCTCAGGAAGTACAGGCAAGCCAAGATACTGGAAGCAGCCGAAGGAAGACGAAGTCTCAAGAAATGCCAAAGGGACCTCTGTGAATATCACGCACCGCTGGCTGCACTATTGAACGAAGACGGGAATCCGACTTCTTACCGATACAAGATGGAATCTATCGCGAAGAACTTCTACACCAACCTCTTCCACTCATCAACACCCGTGCCTGCCCGTTGTTCCCACTGGAGAAGTACCACCACGAATTCTACCTGCTGAAGTGCGCACAGCGATTCAGACCATGAAGACATCCACGCCTCCAGGACCAGACCATCTTTCCGTCGAATTTGTGCGAGCCGGAGGACAACGTCTACACGAGATTCTCGCGTTGCACTTGACATCTTACCAGAAAGAGAGGATTCCCGACCAGTGGAGAACGTCAAGGACCGTCCTTCTCTTCAAGAAGGGTGAATGGGAGGATCTTCGAAATTACCGTCCAATATGCCTGCTGAGTGTGCTGTACAAGCTTTTCACGAAGAATATCCTCGCACGCATATCTAGGACACTGGATGAAGCCCAACCCCAAGAACAAGTTGGATTTCGCAAAGGATTCAGCTGCATGGACCACATCCAGACGGTTTCGAGGGTCATAGAAGTCTGCCGGGAGTACCGACTGCCTAACCTTCATCGAGTACGAGGAATCCTTTGACAGCGTCAAAACCAACGCCATCATGTCTGCGCTAGTCGATCAAGGAGTGGACCCAGCTTACGTGAGGACACTAGCCGACTGCTACAAGGACTGTACAACAACGGCAGCTATTCCATCGCCCCCTGACCATTCCAATTGGGAAGGGGGTTCGCCAAGGCGACACTATTTGGCTGAAGCTGTTCACCGCGGCCTTGCAGGGGTGATGAAGTCACCGGACTGGGAAGAGAGAGGCATACGAGTTGATGGGAGCCTATCCAACCTTCGTTTTGCGGATGACATCGTCCTCTTCTCGAGCAGTATCACTGAAGCAGAGACGATGCTGAAAGAACTAAACGAAGTAGGGAAGAAGATTGGACTGCGGATAAATCTGAAAAAGACTCAGTTTCATGAAAAGCGCCCTTTGCGAAGATGCAGGAATGGAGTTGGAAGGCACCCCTATTATGGAGACGTCTTCTTACGTGTATCTCGGACGTTCGATGGAGAACGACTTGAGGGAAGAATTTAACAGGAGAAGAAGAACAGCATGGGCCGGCTTCGGGCCTCTGAAGGAAGCCACGACCAACTGACGGACCCTCGTGTGCCCACCTATTTGACTCAACCGTACTCCAAGCGCTCTGCTACGCAGCCACACTTGGGCTGACACCGTAGCCGCTTCGAAAGCTTTAAGGACCACCCACAGAGCGCTCGAGCGCAGTCTTCTGAAGATGACCCGACACAAGCAACATATAGTCGGACTTCGCAGCACGGATATGAGAAAAATGTCCCGTCTTCGTGACCTAGCGGAATACGTTGCGAAAGCGAAACACTGATGGGCCGGTCACATAATGAGAAGAACAGACTATAGATGGGCACTAAAAACATCTGAGTGGATTCCTCGCGAAGCCAAACGTTCTCGAGGAAGACCACCGACGAGATGGGCAGACGTGTTCGTGGAACGGATGCACCAGCTGAAAAATCAGCTGGATACGATTTTCGCCTCTGGAACTCGTGGACACAGCCACCGACGACGACCAAGAAGATCGTAGATGTCCGAAGCGAGGGACAGGAAAAAAAGGCAACTTCTGTACTGAGGCCCGCACGTCACGTGAGGACGGGCCGTCTAATTGTAAGTATCTAAGTAAGTAAATTCACACATCAGACTCGCACTTGTGCAACTGCTGTATTTTTTTCCATTTTTGGAAATCGGAAAAATGAAAACTTGCATATTTACGTAAAAGCTGTGCTGCGCTACTCTGCCCCTATGTAGACCGATCTATAAATTGAATCTTTGTGAAAACTACCCTAATTTCACGCGTACAGGGCGCGGGGTGGTCCTAGCTTTCATCGAGCTGCTCAGCGGGCCCAACGTGTTTTAAGAAGCGATCCTGCCGCACGATTCGTCAGGCAAAACGCAGCACGGTATGGGGTTTCTTTGGTTGCGAATTCCTTTGCCGTGTTCGGGCTGGTCGATGAAAGCTAGGACCACCCCGCGCCTTGTACGCGTGAAATTAGGGTAATGTCAGTTTTCTGCCTTCTATTATATGAGCTTTTCTCGAGAAATTCAAAGTATGAAAACACAAACAAAGCGACATCGTCTGGATTTTCCGTTGTTCTGGCCTGTTTTTATTCAATTTCTAACCATGGAAAAATTCAGCAAGTGATGTAGACAGTTACACTGAGCAGTTAGAGGTTACGCAGAACTTTCTGAGCTGATCCCATTTTCATGCATATGAAGATTTTGAACTTTATTTCAAATTTCACATGGATCAAACCTTTTGCAATTTGAATGCCATTTTGTAGAGCTTGCATTGCTTTATCGCATAATCGTGTAAATTTTAATTCAAAAAATAAAGGTAAGCAGACTTTCGTACATATGGAAAGACGTATGGGACCACCTAATAGTATGATTATAAGATAGAAGGTCGCAACTCAAGATTCAACTGCACAAACATTTACAAACGCTAAAGGCTCTTTCAACAAAGATCTTTGCAATTTTCATGGGTTACTACCCTTCTCGAAACTGTGTAACGATATAATGAGTTCAATTTCTATGAAACTTCCGAAAACCTTACTTTAACCGACACTGCAACAAACCACGCAGTCATACATCAAGTGGATAGACATTTGTACCGTCTGTCAGCGTGGATGAAGCCTATCGGCGACTAACGCCCCACTCTAATATTCACCTGATAATGCCTTGCGTTATAGGACATTCTGTTGGATAACTACCCTTCTTTGTATTTCAACAATTTGAGAAGTGCAGCCATATCGCACAGTTCTGCCAAACGCACTCGTATCTAACATTCTGGTGAGAGAAGAGTTGAAATTTCCTCCAACACATGTGTACACTTTATACTCACGCACGAACACTCTACACTCAGTCGTGAAACTTTCATTTCCGTGAACAATGCAAAACAAACACAATAATCAACTGGGGTAACTTCGACAGATATATGCAAAAAACCCACTAAAAGTGAACACTAAGCAGATCGCAGGCGCGACAACTTAGATAGCGTCGAAGTCCGCGTAAAACGGTCAGCATTTCTCCTATACACACTATACCAAAAAACCCTCAGACTAATATGCGTATAAATAACTTCTGTATAATATACTATCTAGACCATGATCCAGCTTCTCACAGCTTCCAATCCAACTGATGCACCATCAACTGCGCAACATTCGACAAACTCAACAGATCTAAAGCCATAAAGATAGCAGCAAGCCCTATTCTCATATACGATTACCTTGGAAGGTCTTCCCATGCAAAGTTCCCGCCGGTATCAGTGAGTGTATGTCGAAAAGAAGAACCGTCGGTGGTTGTGAGCGCCGCCGCTCTCGTTTTGTTGATCATTCCCATCTCTTTCTCTAAGGATGACCGTATAACCTGGAAACATGAATGCTAGTTTTACAGCATTAACAGAAGAATGGGCCTCAGCGAAGCAAGTTGTACCCACGAGACGTAAGGTGATGGAAAATCATACCTGACTGCTCTTCGCAAGCCCGTGATCCTGTTTGTTGCAAGCAACGAGAATAGGAATCTGAAAGGTGTAGAAAATACTCAGGACTAATGAAAGATGAGACTTGTAGAAATTTTACCCCTATGCATTACATCTAAGTAATGCTAAGTCTCAAAAATCAGTGCATCATGTTTACACATGAATTACCTAAAGGATTAGCAAGTAAAAAATGATTGCAAAGTTGCATCATATTGCCGAAAGTTGAAACGACTTAGATAATATCGTGTTTCCATAAAAAAAAATTCGGTACCTTCTTCCCACTTTCCAAAGCTACATCGTATAGAAATTCGGCTACGTCCCTCGATCGTTTAGAAAACGATGAGGAATCAACGACGAAGGTTATACCACGGAGAGAAGAGCGCTCCTAAAAGCCCGCTTGAAGTTGTCATACTGGATAAAGGATGAGCATGACTTACAAAGAAAACTTGTTTAGTCGAAGTGGCCTTTTTATATGGAATAACCTATCGAAGGGCAAAATGCTGATTCCAAATCTGCCTCCCCTATCTGCAGAACGTTCATGAACGAGGAGTTATGAGAGCTTACTGGAGCAAAAAATGGATTGTGCAAGTAGGACAAAAATAGCCGTAATACTATCCTAGCTTCCTTAATGGAGCAGTGATGATCACCAAAGCACTTTATTCAAAAAATACTCGAAAGAAATACATCACGCTTGGTTGCATTATTTGATGGCTAGCAAGGTTTTAGCAACTCATTTTATCCAAAATGCACATTCAATTTTTCGCTCCAAAAATGCTCATAACTCCTCGTTCATGAATATACTGCAGATAAGCAATGCAGGTTTGGAATCTGCAAGGTTTGGAATCTGCATTTTATGCCCTTCAATGTGCTATATATCCCATTCAAAAAAATCACTTCGACTAAGCAAGCTTCCCTTGTTAGACTAGCGACAAAAGCGACCACAAAATATGAGCGACGTATGAAGAAGTATGTTTAGTAAATGCATAAATAAGCTCACTGGCTTTAAAGCTGTTCAAAAACCTCAAAATTGATTCAGGCCTCTGAGAACACTGTCTAATGGTTTCTGACTTCAAACAACTTTTTCGTCCAAACTAGGTCTTATTACAGTTCTAGAGGAGGAAACTTGCATTACAAAACGATGCATAAAAAGATAATTGGCAATGAAACAATCAAATAAAATGTTTCTTGTCGGGGAATTGGACTATTGGATATAATTAGAAGAATTAACCTTTTTCAACCATTTCTCGATCAAATGCTTTCGCAACCGCTCCGCTCCAGGGAAGTCAACCACCTATAAACTTTGAGAATGACCACTGCTAAACATCTATATCGAAATCCAAAAGGGGTGCTAATGAAGCAAAGCAAAATCAAGCAAGAAAAGTGACAGAAGACGAAAGAGACTCAACGACTCAACTCATCAGCAAAACATACCACTCTTGATCTTACCTTTAAATGCTTGCCTTTGATATCAACATCCAGTACATTTTCTTGGAAGGATGTGTACGTGACAGGTTCCAAATCTGCAATATATTCCCTGCCGACTACCTGGTAGACATAAAGCTATGAATCTAAAAAAAAAAGCAAACAGCATACTTCTGTTAGCAAGCTTCCCAAAAATGTGCGTCTTCCCCGCGTCACTGAGGCCTACCATCAAAAACGTATCAGCTTTGTCTCGCAAAGCTCTGCAAAACCATGATTAATTCTTCCAAAATGCTGTTCGGAAGTGTTAGATGGGGCAGTGACAATGGAAATTTACCTGAAGAGGAAGAATGCAATAGTGACTAGTACGACTACAATAGCGCATATCACAGCAACATATGTATGATCCACTCCCACCGGTGTAACCTCTATCTCCACACCTTCTTTGACCATCTGCTCCGCACCTTCCCTAACCATCTGCTTGGCACCTTCCCTGACCATCTGCTCCATTTTGGAACTAAGAAAGCAAGTTGACATAATGATACATACCGCCAAAATCGCAATGTACAAGGTATCAACCAGCAACTGAAAACACCAAAGATCGAACTTGTTTATTAGTTTTGATACTGAGCAGAACATGATAAAAATTACATCTGTACACTTTGGATACTTTTCGACTAAATCATCAGTTTCCGATATTGTACATTTGCTTCACTCGTTTGGGCAGATCGTTTTTCCCTTTGATTCGACGAGCCTCCTCAAATAAGCAGTTTCGGCCGACTGCAACATGCATATATAGAAATGATGCAATACTAACAATCTCACTGTAAATACCATTAATATTCACTATCATCAACTCTAACACGCCAAAGTCTTTAGTAACCTGAGATTACAATAACGATAAGAAGCATTTTTAACACTGAAACGTGACTCATGCAACCTGTCTCCTGGTAGATGGTAGTTGACCCACCGATGCAGAAAGTTCATAATTACATTAGGTGCGGCCCCCCTTAGCGAGCCCTCTCAAGCCCTGGCCAGACTTCGCTCAAAAGCGCTCAAAAGCGCCTAAAAGCGCCCAAATTTCTCTAATGCCTCTTCACTTTCTCGTGTGAGGAGCCATGAGAGAGATTAGAGAAATTTGGGCGCTTTTGAGCGCTTTTAAGCGAGGTCTAGCCGGGGCCTTAGCCTTTGAACAGGTAAAGTGAGGGTTCGGCCATACATTATCCCAAAACCATTGTTACCCGTGTTACCACTGTTGTCATTGTACATTAACCATCCCTTAGTTATTACCGGTGTTCCGCATTCAATGAATGACCGGTGTAGTCTCATCTCATACCGCTTGCAATCCCGAAGGCTGGTGATTACCCTTTCCTTTACGTCGGAAAGGTAGTAAATGCAAATCGGACATCAGCCGCAGGTGTGGCCCATGGAAATACACCAAAGGCCAAACCTTTCTTATTCGTTGAAAGCGGAAGACTAGTACTAAACGGCAACAACGGTTGCAATGAACAACGGTAACCGTTTTGACATTGGTAACAGCCATGAAAAGGGTAAAAGAAGTGATGTAGGAAGAACCTAAGCTCATGGGCACAAGGAGCTATGCTCACTCTATGATCCACTAGTTCCACACCGGAAATTGGGAGCCGCTAATTCCAATTTAGAAATTATAACGATCCGGAACCAATCAGAAATAAAATTTGCGAGCTGTTGAAGTTTTCACATGGAAATGCACCAATGATGCAACTACTGAAGAAAGTAACGGAAAACTAAAGACAGATAGGAAAACTTACGTGCTGGGTCGTAAAAAATTCCGGCGAATTTTTCCGCAGCTCTTTCGCGCACCCAAACTCTAGTTGATCCGGTTATTACACTTGCCAGCTGAACGATGACGTATCTAAGCGAACAATTTTTGAAGAGGCAAAGAGGAAAGGCGAATGGGTGCTAGACAACCTACTTCGACTTTGCTCCCATGGACCCTCAGGCAAGAGCAATCGCAAACTGAAATATATTTTATAAGGATTTGAAATTACGAATGTGTCGCGATTGGAGAGATATGAATTTGGAATCTAGATCGAAGCGATGGCGGCTCAGAGAAATGAAATTGCATGGATGTTCGAAGAAATGAAAAGTGAATTCTGAAGGCAAAAATCTCCATGCGCTCTTCCATTTATTATTTCACGCTGGAACGAACTCGAAGTTGGGTACCTCATCTTATAGTTAGTGATTTTCCATTCTTAGGTTGCATTTCTTACATGGATTCTGTTTAGGAGGCCATGTAAAAGCCACTGCCCAAGCAAAGCCTCATAAAAATTGATCGCGGCCGAAAGCCCCAATCGTAAGCTTACGCCCAGACTGTATTTTCCCAAGCAAACCATCAGCCTCCCCAAGGACAGCCCGCTGATTGGACTGTTTGGAGGTATGATCTAGGACAGAGCTAATACTTGGATTTCTTTTATTTTTTCAGACAGTAATGAGGTGCCGCTTAGATAATGAGTTTGTCAACCCTCCCAATCAGTATTCATACAAGATGTTGCTGTCACACTTACCACTTTCCTCGACAATGTGAGTCGTTATCCCACTGTTCACTTTTCGTTGTCACTAAATTCTACCCGTTCAATCTGTGAGTTGTGAGCAGGAGAAGATCTAACAAAGTGTCCAAAAGAACCGTAAGTGCAGAGTACCCAAAAAATATCAAAAGATTCTATCTTTAATCATTAGTTTCCAATCATTTGCCGCATATTTTGCAAATCTATTTAGTTGTTTTGAAGGCTAGAAACGGCTACACTGAAGCATCAATCTAGCGATAAGCGAAGATCGCCCCATTTGATAGATGTTATGAGTTTTGCGGTGTGCTGACCAGCGAATTATGTAGTACAGTCCTAATTACCATCAGATCAAAATGTTCATTTTCTATTTCCTCAAGAAGATCTTTCAAAATATAGACAAATGAGATAAAATTTTGGATTACAATTTATTCACTAATATGGCACACGAATGCGTGTATCAAAAGAAATGAATAGGTAGAAATACCGGTACTGACTCATGAAACGATGTCAACCATGTTAAGACATGTGCACACCTATAAAAGATACCAAATCCATTGCCATTAAACTAGAAAGATGCTCCGCGATGCTCGTGCTCTCAAATTCGTTGAAGGAGTTCGTTTTCTGCCAGTTTACGCAAGAGAGGTTAGTGAGTATATCATCGAATTTATCCTGTTGAAACTCTGTTGAGGGGAAAAGACTGAATTGACACGTGCATGTACCCCTCTATTCGTTTCATTTTTGAGATTAAAGATTGGAAACCTTACATTTCTCAAAAGTAGCGCAAAATAAACAGAATTTCCAAAAATGTCTCGAAAATCAAATAGGTCTGATTCAGCACGGGATATTGTTTTTGGTCAAATCTATCAGAATTACATATCGTCTGTAGAAGTAGCGATCCGTACAAAATACCAAGTAAAAAGGACAATCAACCTTTCTGCAAATCAGCAACACGTGGATAACTCAGAAACCTTTGAGCTTCACAGACGTACAGGAAACAGAAAATAAACATATGCGGATAAAGCGCTATTTAGCAAATTATATGCAAATAAACAACACCTTTCATAAAGCAGTCAAAACGCTACGGAACTTTCACAGAAAAGACGGTAGCGGCACTTACGATGTCGGAAAATATAGTGTATACGCGATTGCGTACAACACAGTTTTTTCACGAGTATTCCAACGATGTTCTAGCGTTTTGGCGCAAGCTCGTTGGCTTTGATCACTGCTATCTAACTTCCGTTGAAAGTCGATCATAACTGTTGAGTAGCGAAGAGAGTTTGAAAGGCATAACTTTTTGGGAACGTCATGAACGAGTTTCACCTTCAGTTCGCACTCTGGTGGAGAGCCTTCATGTTCTGCTTGCGCTTTGCCTTTCCTGTTCAATTTTTTCTTACATCATTGAACATGGCATCTCGGCATCTATCCAGTGGCTTCGTTCAGGTTCTCCAAATTCATGCGCTGCGAAAGGCAATTGATTATTCTGGAGCTCTGTAGGATTTCTTTATTTCTTTTCTTTTCTTTTCCCCCACAGATTTATCACTAGCGTTGCTATCAACCAGTTAGGCTCACGTATACATTTCCGTTGCTAAGATGCTCACATTTTCTAAATTGTATACAATTACTATAATAGTTCTGAGACCTCTACTAAAGCAGCAGAAGTTTGATACGTGCTTAATAATTTCCTGGTGCATATAGTGTTCTTCTCTAGGTCTACATGAAAAGAACGATTGATTGTCAAAACTTGAATCGCGACGCTAATGTTCTGCATATGTTTGCGAGGCCTTTCTCTTGCCTACGCTGTAATTAAACACATCTATAAAACCTCGCTGTGGCTGGTCCTTATCGAATCTCCGAATCAATAAGCTGTCCGCTTATACTGTATAGAACTGCTTTCTCTGAAGATATTGGTCTCAGTCATTCTTGCGCTATCTTCCCAGAGCGTGCATAATATTGAACGAGCGAATATTGGACTAGATGGGTTGTATTTCATCAAAAAGTAAGCATTATCTGCACTATTTCTCAAAAACATGGCGAAAAGTTTTCCCGTTTTCAAATTTTGATCTTAAGCAACTTTCAAAATACCAAGCATTGGAATTTGTTGCAATTATGGACAATTTGATGGCTTACACAATTTTGGATCTGTTTACTACGACTTTCTACAAACCCGCCATTTTGGTACCACTTAGCATGACAGCTCATACTCACATTTTACTCTGTTTTCTTTATATATTATTCCCAATCCTAACCTATAGTCGTTTTCTATACTTCACATTTTCGGTCAACACGCTTTCTTTATTCATCTCAAGTTCTAATTAGCTGCCATTGATTTGAGCTCGATTTTCAAGCTTAGGCCTTAGCACGGCCCGCGGTTGCCTATAATATGTTGTTTGCTGTCATCACAAGAGAGGTTCTTGAGCTTTTCTTTTTTTCCTCTTCTTTTTTTCCCTGTTCTTTCTCTCGTTAGTGCTAAAATTCATCTTTCATGACAAAGTCGACAAACAACAAAGTCGAAAGTTGTGGCCACGCCGTTTCATAATTTGTCGTTCTTCTTGGAAACTGGTTATGTCAGCATTGCACTTGTCACATGCAGCTTACTCTCTTTTACATCGCTCCTACTAGCCTAAAATGTTCCAGAACATCATGGAAGGTATTGGGTTTTTGACCGTCCTATCTGGATCTATGTTTATTGGAAGCTATGTTGCCGGCGCGATTCCAATGATGTTCAACATGTCCGAGGTTTGTTCCAACTCTTTTTTCGCCAATTCAGCTATCTGCCGCGCATCTCTTTCACATCGCGATGTTTTCATATTAGCCATTTGTATCGCGAAAATGTTTACATAAGTGCTGTTTTGGCTACGAATGTTGCGAAGCTGTTTTAAAAAAGAAGAAAATTTATTGAATTGAAAACTCCGAGTGTATGTGTACGGCTTCAGTCACAGACTTCATTATGTGGATGACAGAAGATTCTATCGGGTTGAGTTCACGAGGGTGTAGATCATACCCTTGCTAAAAATCAGATTCATTCATGGCATGCGATATAGAGTCAAACACGGTGGCCATATGAGTTTTATCCTTATCAGTATTAAACTTTAGCGAAGAGTGTAATCTACACCTTCATACTCTGTTCGATAGCATCTTCTGTCATCCACGCAATCATCTGACGTAGAGACTGGAAGCTATATACATGTATCCTGGAATTTTTAACACAGTAAATTTCATTCCTCACTACTGACATAAGAACAGCTTGGCAACATTCATAGCCAAAACTGCACCTATGATAGTGGGAGAGATATGAGGTGTGGCGTGGCGCATCAATGTTTTCATTGAGTAAGAGTAGCATACCCTTATACGTATTGAGATTTGAAAGAATTGCTTTGAACTGTGAGGATAAAAGTAAAAAAAGCTCAAAATGTTTCAAATCGTCACTTCATCTGAGTGAAAACCTCAAGGCAGGTGTCTATATATGTCTTTTTGTCTAGTTAATGAACCTACACCAATGAAAATCTCTCTCTGTGGCCGGTAACAGGAAATATTCTTTGTTCCTAGTGGCAAACGGAAATCCCGCTCCTACATATTTTATGCCAGGGTAAGGCGTTTCTGCCTGTTCCGCTGTCATGCCGGCGGTGCTAGTCTTGCATTGCTTCAGAAATTTTATGATTAGAAGTGCTGGGGAGATCATTGGTACACCATAAAGTTCTTTCAAAAATTCTGAATATACTTGGGAATCGTGATATGGTAGTCTTGGTCTATAATGTCTTGCTAGCAAATTACGTAGAAATCTAATTGTATTCACACTACAGTCAATGTTCAGTCGCGAATGCGAATGGTTAGCATCTTTGGTGCTGGTCTGCTTCTTGGAACCGCTCTTTCGGTCATCATACCGGAAGGAATCGAGGCCCTTTACGACGCGAAACCAGGTATTCGTTAGGTACTAGCATTTTTCCAAGTTTTTTCTTGCCAGAATATCTCAAAGTTTCGAATGTTATATGACTAGTTAACGAGCGTCAAAATTCAGCTTACATTGCCTGATATACTATCTTTCGACTTGCCAATCTAGAAAGTTCAAAGGCACCATAACCGACATTTTTGTGAGCTGTAAGTTCAGAGACTTCCTCGTGTTCTAAGCATTTTGTTCAGACCTGGATCTTTTTGTAGACCCTACTAGCAAGTGTAGAATAGCTCTGGCGAAAAACTCGGTTTTTTTTACACAAAATTCTAGTGCTCTAACTACTTTGACTGAGCAAGAATAAAAATAGTCTTTTCCAGAAGCGACACATGTCGAGTTCCACGGCATAGTTAATCCTGCGAAAGCGAAGGCAATCCTCGAAGACACGAAACCCAAAGGAGAGCCACCGCGTATTGTTCCAGCAGACATAGAACAAAAGATAAACGCCGTTAATCAAGCGTATGTTACGTTTACAACATCTTTTTTCCTTGTCTGAACTTCAGTAATTTTTACTGCTTAATAGGGAACATTTTCTGTTCTCTCTTCATAATTTCGGGTATTATCTTTGTTTTCTGTTTAGTGATATCCTTCTAGTTATGTTGCGATTTTATAATTAGAGTAATATTCTAGTTATGTTCCCCTTGCAAGTCATTGTCTGTAGATAAGCTTGAGTTAGCGTTTGAGGTGCCTTAAGTTACTTTTGAAACATTCAGTTGTAAAGAAATTGCAATTGGGATGGAGAATTGAATGGAAATGCATTTGGCCTTTTTTTTTTTCAAATAAAAATCGCCTTTTGTGCCAGAGAAGCTCAAAGTTTCGGAGATACCGCACCTTTTTCCAGCAATGCCAGAAAGAAACGAAGCCCTGGCACAGAAGTTGTTCCGAGCAACGAGAACTCGCTAAGAATCAAACGAGAGGCAGGCAAGTCACGTTTACACATTGAAGCGTCCTTGTTAGAGGTGGTTAGGACTGCAAACTATGTAGAGCTTTTTTTTTTGAAGATCTCTTTACGCAGCGACTTATATAGGAGTATCGACACATGTAATGTATCCTAGACGGAAAGTTTTGATAAATTATGAGCCTTAGCAACTGTTTTGCCGTTTTGCATCATCAGAGCCTCTTTGAGGTGCTCACGAAGTCAGATCGTGGTGAACGGGCTAACAAATCAAAACCGTCAGTCTAACGTGCTTTTGATGAATAGTATTCGATTTTTTGCCCTTTTTGTTACACTTCGTGCAAAATCAAATTTTTTCGTAAGATAGTACAGGATGCGCGCACATCGTTTCAGCAATTTTACATCCACTTCTTCAGCAGAATTTCCATCTATATGTGATTTCTAGTTGAATACGGGAACTCGGAACGAGTTGTACAGTGATTATATGCAGTATCTCCATTTTGCTATCTATTTTTGTTATGTTGTTCAGATCCAGTGTTTTTCTTTCATCTTCTAACCTTGTCATATTTGCAGAGCTACCTTATCCTTATCAATGTGTTTAGGCCAAGCTGCTGCGGCTGTTGCGGATCACGCAGAGCATGCTGATCATGAACATGAACATGAGCATGACCATAGTGCTCATCATAAGATTGGGTACTCTCTTGTTTTTGGGTTCATCTTCATGTTATTAGTCGACCAAATAAGTAATACTGCAGGCATCCGAAGTGAGTATTTATCTTATTAGTGCTTGATAGACGTAGACAGCAAAGATATTCTCCTCTTCTTTTGAGGCGGATATCTTGAACAGCAACGCCCTAGTTCTTAGTCAAAATTTAGTCATTGTTGTGATTCGGGCTGCCCTCTTCTTAGTTTAGTGGTCAAGTGATGAAAGATATCTTTCGCTGGATAGCTTCTTACTTTCGTTGATTTCTCTAGCTTTTCTGCTACAAAAATGTGAGTCCCAATTTTCTCAGAAAACTCATTTATAGACATTTGCATGAATTAGGCGATATTTTAGCCCAAAAGGTGCAGTTATCGAACGTGTTACAGCGTGTTACGTGTTTTGGTTTTGCTTAAAAACTTTGTAAGAGCTTTTATAAGCTTGCTTGAGCACTTGACCGATCTCATCTAAGCGAGGGTGATCCGAATTAGCAGTGGTCTCTGTTCTTTTGGATGACTAGGAGATTGCCGTTCAAGATGTCACGCAATCTCCATTGCCAGATGATCGTTCCGGTCGCAACAGAATGGGCATATCTGCCACCATCGGTCTTATCGTACATGCCGCAGGTTTGCTTATCCTTGGTTCGAAAGAGGGCTTTTAAATTCTGTTAGATTTAGTCATTCCCTCGTTTACATTTATGAACTGAGTTCATGATGGGTTCATACATGTGAAAAGGGGATAATGTGTTCCTACCCCCTTCAACCCTGGGCCGGAACCCAGCTGACCCCCCTTCACCCACGGCCGATGAGAAACTGGAAGATGTGAGACTAAGATATCAACATTTTAAGCAAAATTATGAAACTATCGGCATAATCAAATTTAATTTTAGTGACATGTTGATTCTCCATGTTAATCATTATGATTATCAAAGACTTATTTGCAGGTTTACTGAGAAGTACGTCGGAAATTTGCCGCCTATTGTTCACTTCTAGAGAACGAAGAAAAAGCCTGGAGAAAAATTTACGTGTGAAGCCTTCGTGCATATATGTCTATGAATCCTCAAAGAGTCAAATTCTGACAAAGATCGCAACGTTTGCGTAGAGAAGAAGGTGCAAGGGCAAGTATTACATCGAAAACTTAGTGTAATTAGGGTTAGTCTTCCTGTCAAAATGCTATAGCTACGAGGGTCTTGGAGTTCTACAGTCCGCCTACTTGGACGATGATATGGATGAGTTAGGGCAGCCAGAAATGCATTTTTCCACGTTGGAGCACTATACAAGAAGAGGAGGACAACCGTATATGATTACTTGCACTATTTACTCTTTGAAAAAATTTGTTTTCCATCGGAGAAGATTGAGAAACTCAGGAGATCTTTGGAGGAAGACTCACTCATAATTATCCTAATCTAATTTAGAAGTCTAATTTCCATCCGCTTTCCGAGTACGTACAGCTTGCCAGGAAAAAGAGGGATTCTTTTTGCCAGGTAGAGATAGTTTTAGTCATTTTTTCAAAATTGACTAATTTTTCTTTAAAAAATTCTAATTTTCTCATATGAGAAGATAGGAGAGTCTTTAGCTATGCATCGAATTGCTCTTGTTGAACGCTTTCAGGAAATATATAGCATGCCAGGAAAGAAAGGATTTTCCTGTAGGATGAAGGTGGTCGTAATTGTATATGAGTTTTTTTAGTAAAAATTTATAACTTTACTATATGAAAAGCTAGAAGAGTCTCTTGCACTTTATTGGAATCCGCTCGTCGTCCGCTTTCTGAAAATATGTAGATTGCCAGGAAAAAAGGGGATTTTCCTATTGGGTGAAAGAGGTCGTAGTCGTTTTTTCCGGAATTAAACCAATTTTTGACTCAAAAAAATTATAACATTTCTATATGAGAAGCTGGGAGAGTGTTTAGGTGTTCTTTGAATTCCTCTCGTCGTCCGCTTTCAGAAAATATATAGGTTGTGGGGAGAGGGTTGATAAAAGTACTTGGTGAAAGGAGCAGGAACATGGTATAATGGGCATGTTCCTTTAGCTCCTTAAAGCGACGTTTTTGGAGTACATAAAGGAACTCTTCCATTGTACCATGTTCCTCCCCCTTCACCACGTACTTTTAGGGCCGCATGCATTAAAATCCTTGCGGGGAGGGGATCGCTTAAAAGAAAGCTTCATATCCTGAAGCTCCAGATATCTGGATTTCACCTTGTGTACGTAACCGTAAGTAATCCTACTATCCTTCACTATGAACACATTGAACAGCAGCGAGAAGCTGTACAAGCCACAGTTTCCACCATTTGGATGATTCCTGATGATCCCCGGCGCTTTTCTTTAAAGTCATTTTTCTTTCTCCAAAGTTAAAGAAAAGTTTTCAGAGTTGTGCAGATTATCTAACCCAACACCGCTTAGCATGTTGCTGACAAGAACAAGTGATGTATCGGAGTCATGAAATTTGCGATGAACCACAAGTCGAAAGTTGTGGTTTATCAAAAAATTCGATTTTTCAAAAACTCATTCGTTCTCATCAGTGACATGCTTAGCACTGTTGTGTTAGATAATTAGTGCAACTTTGTAAGGTTTCGTTAACTTCAAAGAAAGAAAAATGACTTTGAAGAAAAGCGCCGGGGATCGTCAGGGATCACACAAAAGCTGGAAAATGCGGCTTGTACAGCTTCTCGCTCCTGTTCAATATGTTCATAGTGAGGGATAGTAGGAATACTTGCGGACACGTAGACAGCGTGAAATCTAGTTATCTGGAGCTTCAAAATATGAAGCTTTCTTCTGAGCTACGATCCCCTCCCCAGCGGGGTTGTTAGTGCATGCGGCCCTTAGCATCCTTCTCCCCCCAACCTATATATCTTCTGAAAGCGGACGACAGAGGAATTCAGTGAACACCTAAACACTCCCAGCTCCTCATATAAAAACGTTATGATTTTTTTAACTCAAAAATTGGATTAATTGCGGAAAAACGAGTACGACCCCTTTCACCCGATAGGAAAATCCCCTTTTTTTCTGACAACATACATATTTTCAGAAAGCGGGCGGCGAGAGGATTCCAATAAAGTGCAAAAGACTCTTCTAGCTTTCCATATAGTAAAGTTATAGATTTTTATAAAAAAATTCCCTTAATTTTAAAAAACAGCTATGACTATCTTCACCCTACAGGAAAATCCTTTCTTTTTTGGCAAGCTATATATTTCCTGAAAGCTTTCAACAAGAGCAATTCAATGTATAGCTAGAGACTCTCCTATCTTCTCATATGAAAAAGTTACAACTTTTTAAAAAATTAGTCAATTTAAAAAATAACTAAAACTATCTCTACTTGGCAGGAAGGATCCCTCTTTTTCCTGGCAAGTTGTACGTTCTCTGAAAGCGGATGGAAATTAGACTTCTAAACTAGACTAGGATAATTATTAGTGAGTTTTCCGAAGATCTCCTAAGTTTCTCAATCTTCTCCGGTTTGAAAACAAATTTTTTCAAAGAGTAAATAATGCCAGTAATCATATACGGTTTCCCTCCTCTTCTTGTATAGTGCTCCAACATGAAAAAATGCATTTCTGGCTGTACTTCTTCATCCATATCATCGTCCTAGTAGGCGGATTGTAGAACTCCACGATCCTCGTAGCTATAGCATTTTGACGGTAAGACTTACCCTAATTACACGTTTTCGATGTAATACGTGCCCTTGGTTGCACCTTCTTCTCTACGCAAACGCTGCGATCTTTGTCAGAATTTAAAATAATATCAAAGGTTGGAACAGTGACTCTTTGAGGATTCATTGACATATATGCACGAAGGCTTCATACGTAAATTTTTCTCCAGGCTTTTTATTCATTCTCCAGAAGTGAACAATAGGCGGCAAATTTCGGACGTACTTCTCAGTAAACCTGCAAACAAGTTTTTGATAATCATAACAATTAGCGTTGAGAATCAACATGTCACTAAGTTTGATCTTGATAATGCCGATAGTTTTATAATTTTGCTTAAAATGTTGATTTCTTAGTCTCACATCTTCCAGTTTTTCTTCTCCAAATTTTAGCGGGTAAAACCCAATATTCGACTTCAAGCTGTTTGGCTACTATTTCACTTGATGCATGTGAATGAAAAGAACATGAGAAGCAAGGATGAGGAACGTTGCCCCCCCCCCCCCCCCCCGCTCGACGCACCTTGACAGCGTCGGCCCTCATACCCCCTTCACGCTGGGGAGGCCATGTTCCCCTTTGCACACATATGGATGGGTTTATTTTGTTGTAATCGTTTTGCATTATTTTTATTCGTTCTGGCGGTTTCAAACAATCGCGAGCTTTTCGTAGCAGATCCTTCTAAGTTGCGGGGTCAGAGGTTGACCATCTATTATGTGCTCGAACTACGCTCTAGCAGAAATGTTAATGCTTTCAGCTGATGGAATAGCACTAGGCAGTGCTTCGACAATACACAAATCAGATGTGCAGTTAATCGTATTCATTGCTATAATGTTGCACAAGGTGAAGATTTGATACACTGGTAGATTCGAAAAACGCTCATCTCTCAGGCTCCAGCAGCATTTGGTTTGGTTTCTTTTCTTCTGATGGAAGGAATAGATATAAGAAATGTTCGCAAACATCTGCTGGTGTTCTCTTGTGCAGCTCCATTTGCTGCTATGGCGACATTTCTACTCGTCACGAAAGTAAGCTTTAGCTCACTTTTTCACGTGATAGAAAACCTTTGTTCTAAACGGATAGAATTTCAGGTGGGAAGCGAGTCCATTTCATCCTCGGGCGCTTCCACTGGGCTGCTTATGCTATTTTCTGCGGGGACGTTTTTATACGTAGCCACTGTGCATGTTTTGCCCGAATTGGTGAGTCTCGTACTTGCGTCACTTTGTTTATCGGAGTGCTTTGGAAGCGAACAATTACTGAATTTGCTGATAAAGAAGTTTGGTCGCTTTTGCGGCTTCAAGAAATGTTGCAGACAAATTTTTGTTCGATATTTGGTATTTCTGGAAAGAGAATGGCTGGTCATATACAATCTTGTTTGCTAGATGGAGAAAACCTCTCTGTGTCCTAATACTAAATTGCTTGTTTACATATCCATCACAGCATGAAAAGAAACGTAGGAAGTCGAAAATTTGAGCTTCGGAAATTTAGCCATCTTGGCACATAATCAAATTTAGCCATCTTGGCACATATATCATTTAGTGTTGATAAAAGAATTAGTTAATACTAGATGGCTTACCCGGCTCCGCCCGGGTACGTATGTTCCGAATAGAAATTATTATTTCTGTACCGATCGGGACCAAACTTTGCACACATACACTTCGGGGCGGGGCAGGTGTCATAGTCCACTTTTCGTTATCGATCGATGTCAGTTTTATCGATTTTTTGCAAAATTTGAGCTAGGGGGGTGGAATTTGGCACGAGGGTGTAATCGAGCATGCTGATCACCCCCACGTGGGTGATCAGCATGCTCGTTTACCCCCCTCTGCCAACTCCCAGCCCCGTAGCTCATATTTTGCAAAATCGATAAAATCAGACAAACAGACATTCAGCTTTATATATAAGATGTGATAGTGGAAGTTACAAAATATTCAGCGCAAAAAAGTCATGGAGAAAGAACGACAAAAATTTTTGAGGAGATTTGCAGCCAACCTAGTAGTATGACAATTTATCACTCTACAAATCCCTGTTTTCCTTTTTATTTGGAAGGCTACTATATAATCAGCACAGTGTGTCCGCCGCTTAGCCAGCTTCGTTGCAGGCGCAAACACTTTTGGAAGAGAAAACGCGAAATTACGCTGAAAAATGCCCATAAAGTGAATGTCGATTACTGCGCTATCTGGCTCAGGCAAAATTGCGATGTTTTTAGCACAGAGAAAATTATTTCAATCTTCAATTTTGCATTGCCGGATCTATCTGCTGAAATGAGAGTAGCACACATTTTGAGAAAACGTTTTCGGGTACTGCTTGGCGTAGACTGCAGCACATGGGATTGCTCTTGGGAAACTTTGCAGTCGGGCAATGCGTGCACATGTGAGCACACATCTTAAATCCGTGAGCATGAAATCGGTATTTGAAGTGAGCATCGTAGAAATGGACAGAAAGAGTGTCAAGATCCGTTTCACGACTTTCTTTTTTTTTGGCTTTGATCAGTGAGTTTTAAAATGTGGTTCCCGCAGCATCGTCTCTACCTCAGTGATACTGCTCAAAAATAGAACGATGTCTTTGCAAAATAAAGTTTCGAAAGGAATCTAAAATAGCTGCATCGTCGTTATGCACTCCTTGTAGCAGTCGGGTCGGGTCCACTCCTTGATCGTCTAGTACTGACAAGATGATGTTGGTCTCGACGCTATCAAAAACTTTCTCGCAGTCGACAAAGGTCGGGACAAGAGGCGTCAGCACTCCGGACGGTCTTCTGTGACTTTCAAAGCCATGTGATTTGTGGTCCATGAGGCCGAATCCTTCTCGAAATCCAACTTGTTTTTGAGGCTGGCTTCATGCAGTGTACTAAACAGCGAACGAGGTCAATCTTTAAAAAGCTTGTACAACACACTCAGCAAACATATCATACGGTAGTTCCGAAACCTCCGTTCACCTCTTTGAGAAGATGGACGGTCTTGAAGTTCCATTGGTCGGGAATCCTTTTCTCCTGAAGGTAAGATGTTGGACACAATGTGAGAATTTCGTGTAGACGTAGTCTTTCTGCTCGCAGAATTCGACAAGAGATGGTCTGGTCCTGACCGGTGGAAGTTTTCGTGCTCTGAATCGCGGTGCGCACGTTTGCGGGTAGAATCCGGCGGTACTTTCCCGATTGGAACAACGAGCATAGGCACGAGTTATGAACAGAAGATGTTGATGTGGGAGTTTTGCGACTTATTCCACTTACGTCGGGATGAAGTTGGAGCCCGTCCATTTGTGCTGCCAGCGGTACGTGATACCAGGGCCCGGCACAGATCGTCTGGAAGCAGGCTGGACTTCGTTTCTGAAGCAAACAGCAAAGGGGATATCTCTTTTGCGAGTCGGAACCGAGCACCAAGAATAAGCGCCATTCAGTCGAACACAAGCCTTCCGGACAGGTTATCACACGATTGACATGCTCTATCTTGCATGGCGAAAAGTGCGCGCGATTTGAAAGCTAGGCAAAAATAAACAAATTGCTTGTTTACAGCGCACACAGAAGCATATGACACCAAAATTGATTGTATGTATAGAAAATTATTTGCGAAAGTATTATGTAAGAAGATTTGGAAACTTATGTGAAGTAATACCATTTCCAAAATTAGATCGTCTCCAGACGGCCACCAGACGATCTGAGATCGTCTGGAGCATATAATTTCGTCACTTCACATAAGTTTCGGATCTTTTTAGCATGGACGACGGATTCTCCGGTCAAAAATCTATCCCTGAGCATGAAACATTTTCATATCATTGTTTTTCCTTTGTTTTTTGCCTTCATTTCTTCTCGCTTTGTTAAATATCGCGCTCTAATGCCAAAGTCTTATGCATGCGTAATATTCAGCTCCAATTTGGATTTTCGCTCTTATCAAATCTTTCTTGTTTTCATCTTCTCCTAAGCAGGTAGGTCAAAGGGGACTTCGTAAAACTTCCGAAAGTCAGGGGAGACTTCGTTTTCAGAAACCCTAGAAACCGACTCGTGCCGAGCCCTGCGTGATACCGCAGAGGTCTTTTCAACAATTTTTTTTCGGACTCTGTCTTTCTTTGGCTTCCACTACCTTCGCTTGCCTGTGCTTTCTGAGATCCTCCTGCAAGGTGTTCTGCAAGCTCGAATCCTGTCTCAAGATCTTCTTTCGAGTAGTTCCTAGTGGTCCTCGAAATGCATGCTTCTCGGAAGTCACTGAGGCGCATTTTTCGCAGGCTCGCAATCCCTTGAGATCCAGTCGTAGTCGGTGGGCCCTCCTCCATGGGCCAGTCACGACTCGACAGGAGCTCTATCAGCTGATTACTGTCATGAACGATTTCCTTCCTTCTTGCGGCACTGTTGCAGACCTTTTTTCACCTTTCGACTGAACTGTACCTTCGTTAGAGGACGGAGGGAGGCACTGCAGAAGTAAGGAACTACTGAGACATCGAGCAAACTCCACCTTCGGTTGGTGAGATTGTGGTTGATCTCCGCTGAGTCGTTCCGTTGGGCGAATCCCATGCCCACCGGCGATGTTCTCTCTTTATGAAGATGGAATTTCCATGGAAAAGTCGTGCGGGAGAAAGCCCAACGTGGCGCTTGCCGTTTTCGTTCCGGAGTCCATATCCAAACTTCTTGATCCTATATCCCTGGTTTAGTGGCATACCGATTTTCGCGCTGAAGTCGCCCACAACAAACGCCCACAACAAACTTTTGAAAGAACTTCTCGTTGCAGACGACCTTCTCCACGTCTTCGTAGAAAGCATACTGTTCTTAGTCGTCAGCTGCTGATGTTGGCGAGTAGCAGCTGATGATGCTGAGGTCTTCTGACCTGGAGGTCGTAGTCGTAGTATGACTAGGAGAGTGTGAGGTTTTCATGCGAATCCAGGATGGACGATTACCATCAGTGATAAGAGTTCCATCACTCGTCTATTGCACGTCCTTCTTCATAGTCTTCGTTCCAGCTATGATGTGTAATGTGCTCTGCAGCGTCGAGATGAGGGGCGAGGTTGTCGTTTGTAGAGACTATCCTGACGTTGTAGGTGCAGAGCATGAGGCAGTCTGCATGGCGTGGTCTGGGCAGGTGTTGTTTTGTCTAATCCAAAAGGCGCTGAGGACCCTGACGTCGTTGCTACCATCTGCGCTGTAGACGGGATTTGACAAACAGCTTCTTCTTTAATCTTCTTTTAGCTGAGCGAGTGAGAAATTTTTCCCCTGCAAGAGCATCTACTAGGCCTACTCTTGCTTCCTCCGGGGGGATTGCAAACCCCGAGTGTAGAGCGGGGACCGCCTAGTGTCAGAAAAGCCACATGGTGAGGGATCTGGCCTCGTCCGCTTGCCGCATGCACAAATATCCCCACTGGGGAGGGATCGCAGCTCAAAAGAAAGCTTCACATCCTGAAGCTCCAGATAACTGGATTTTACGCCGTATAACCTATCCGTAGTATTCTCACCATCCTTCAATATGATTATATTGAACAGGAGCAAGAAGCTGTACAAGCCGCATTTTTTTAATGATCTCCCTAATTATCCCCAGTGGCCGTCTTTTCTTCGAAGTCATTTTTCTTCCTTCAAAATTGACGAGAACTTTCAAAGGTACTGTTCGTCTAATTTAACAGTGCTAAGTAGTTCCCGATTAGAACAAATGAGTTTGAAAGATCGAGTTTTCGATAAACCTCAACTTTCGACTTGTGGTTCATGGTTCGCAAATTTCATGACTCCAAAATCATTTGTTCTTATCAGCAACATGCTTAGCAATCCTGGGTTGGATAATCGGTATAACTCTGGAATATTTCGATGACTGAATAAAAGACGGCGGCCGCTGGGGATCATCAGGGGATCTAATAAATAGCTGGAATATACATGTACAGATTCTCGCTCCTGTTCAATTTGTTTATAGTAAAGGATGGTGGGAATACTCACGGATAGATAGACATCGTGAAATCCACATGTCTGGAGTTTCAGATATGGAATTTTCATTCAAAGGCAGTGTCCTTGCAAGAAGTCGATTTTGAGATTTTGTGCTTACCCGGTCCCGTTCGCTATGCTGAATCCGAAAATCCACACTGGAAAGTGCGAAAATGGCAAAAAGTGCCCTTACGCAGGAAGGAAATCTACAGGTGGGCGGGGTCTTCCCCATTGTGAATTCACGCTCCCAGCTTCCGGAGCGATCTTCTCGATCCCGCTAACCGCCCTGACATCTCCACCGGCCAAGTGCGAACGCTTGACGTTGGGACCGAGAAGATCGCTCCGGAAGCTGGCAGCGTGAATTTAGTGGTGACCCCGCCCACCTCTGATCCCTCCTGTGCTGGAGCCCCTTTTCGCCGTTTTCGCGCTCTGCAGTGTGGGTTTTTGGATTCAGCATAGCGAATAGGCCCGGATAAGCACAAAATCTTAAAATCGACTTTTCGCCCGGACACTGTTTTTAAGCTGCGATCCCCCCCCCCCTCCCCGGCGGGGATGTTAATGCATGCGGCCCTTAGCTAGAAATATGGCCGAAACCGGGAAGTCGAACTTCTTCACAGCTTGGGAGGCCTTAACAGAGTGTACACTAGGCTATACACTGCAGATCGAAACCTAAGGCAACCCATGCCATGTTGAGGCGACGGACCCTAGTGGAGGGGAAAGGGAGGACCAGATAAGCCGGGTATATCACCGAAATATTCAAATGCCTGCTTGTTCAGTCCAGCAACTTGTATGCGGTCGAGTTCTGCGCTAATGACAAAAGTATCAAGTGTTGTATCAAATCTCACAATCGCGGACTATTTTGAAGTGACAGCTGCAGAGAATAAGGTCGTTGAAGATACTAGGTTGGTGCAAAAGTTTTGTCGCACCTTTTTTGAAAAGTTACAGCTTGTTGCTCACTCGACGGTTTTGCACAAGCCCGAATTCATTAGATGGAGGAAGCATAATCTTTGTACTGATGCCTTTGTTGTTCTTTGATAAGAGTTAGTTTTGGTAAGTGGAAGAGGTTGAAGGTTGAGGTAGAAGAAGGAGAATATCACTTCAGATCCGACCATTTGAGGTTAGGCTGCTAAATATCTGAAACTTGCGATAAAAATCGAAGCAAGCAGTAATATAATTCTTATAACTCGCTTAATGAGCGTGTTTATGGAGAGTTATAATTTTTTGAGGTTTTTACCAGTGAACCAGTAATTAAAGGTGCTAGATTGCATCCCCCGCCGGGACCGCATCGCGGTTTTCCGCTATTTGATGGTTTTTGAATGAAGCTTACGATTCTTTATATACAGGGTGTCCCAAAAGTAAGTACACACTTTTCAAACGTCAATATCTCTCTTCCCAATGGGTCTTTTTTTGCCAGTCAAGCACCATTCTGTAGAGGAAGCTTCAACTTAGATTTACAGTATCGAACGAATCACCGATCGCTCTTCGTCACTGTAGGATTACGGTAAGAACTTCCAGCACGTGGAACCATTGTGAGATATGCCATCTGACAAAATCCTTTTCAAAAAATTTGAAATATCGTGTACTAGGGTTCTTGCGCACGCTGAATCTACTAGACAACTTTTTACGAGTGTTTTCAGCTTTTTTGACAATGTAATCACATTTCTGACAAATACTGAGATTTCGGTCACTACGGTTTACCTGGAATAACTTTGGAAAGAAGCATTACAGTAGAGTGGAATTTTCATATTAGAAATCAGCGGCTTCCGTTACCATAGTATAAGAGTTTTTGGCTTATTTGGTTTTGTTCCGAAGCAGAATATTGCTTCCAATGGCCTAAAATCCCTGTCGAAGTTCCTACAGTAATCTTACAGTAATGAAGAGCGATCGATAGTTCACTCGACACTGTAAATCTAAGTTTAGGCCTCCTCTACAAAATGGTACTTGAATGGTGGAAGAAGACGCAGTGAGAAGAGAGATATTAACGATTGAAAAGTGTGTACTTACTTTTGGGACACCCTGTATTATATATATTAGATAGATTCGAGTAGGCTAGGCTGATAGAAATATTGAAATTGCCATAAACTGCGGAGTATAGCAGTGTATGTCTTTTTCCGCCTCTCCCAAAAGTGCAGGGCTTGTATCAAATGAGCATCTTCGTGAAAAGTTAAAAATTCAATAAATTTTCGAAAAAAAGACAAGGAAATGAAATTTGTTATTTTGTATTACATACTTACTTAAATACTTAGATGGCCTGCCTTCACATGACTGCGCCCCAGCGCAGAAGATGCCAGTGAATTGCTAAGTATAGTAAGTACCCAGAAATCATAACTCTCCGCAAAAAGCTTTTTTAACACAAACTTTGCAGGTGGGTTATAAAAATGATAAAGCTTGCTCCGGTTTTTATCGCAAGTTTCCGATTTTTAGCAGCCACTTGAGTGGTCGGACCTGAATTAAATTTTTTCCTGTTTTTATATACCTCAAAGCTATCTTCTGTTAAATGGCAGCAAAGGAAACATAACAAAGATTATGTTCTTCACTATCTAGTAAAATTAAGCTTGTGCAAATCCGTCAAGCAAGCAAGATATGATTTTTCAAAAGTGGTGTTGCACAGCTTTTGCACCTAATATTACCATTTTGATGTGCAAGTCGACTAGTCTTTGACCTTGAGATGAATTGAATTGAAAATGTCAAAAGTTTAGGTTCTTCTCAAACGCAACTTGTGTATCGCGATCACCGAGCGGGCAGTGTGTTACTTGTAATTTTGGAAGTGCCGCGAAAGCTTTTTCTAAACTTCTTGTAGTATTCTTCTACTCAATAAACGTAGCTTTCTCTTCATTAAAAAATAGACAAATTAAACTCGATATCAGCAAAGTCGATAAACGTTTTTTTTTTTGCTATGCCTGTAGAAAGAGAATCCACGATAGGTTCACTATATTATCTATCCTAATTTCACGCGTATAAGACGCAACTTTTTCGGTTTTTCAAGCGTGCCGCCCAGCCGCCTCGTTGTGTTTCGAAAACGAGACTTATGCCGCACAATACTCTCAGGCAATATGTAGCACTGTGAACAGTTTTTTTTTGGTCGCGAAGTCCTTTGGCGTGTCTGTGCTGTTCGATTTTAGGAAAAAAACTCGCGTCTTATACGCGTGAAATTAGGGTACATACACACACTTCATATGCAGCCTTACATTCTCGCTACTTCTATTAATTAAAGTCATCATTCTAGGCAAATCGTGGAAAAACAACAAATATGGATTACACCTTGGTGGTCGATGCGCAATCTCCTGCTACCGCAGGACATTCTCACTCAGGTTTGTGCTAATGAATTTTTTAATGCCATGGGATGTCAGTAGCGGGTGGGTTTATCTCAATTGCGCAAGGGAAGACAGTGGCTAGAAACTATTCCTTGAATGGTATGTCCTGTACACTTCCTTCTCATAATTAGAAAGTAGAGAGTATGAATTTGTAGTCCCTACCTAAGAAATCGTTCTCATCCCTTGATTTTCGTTAGAATCATGATATATCTGCTGAAACATAAGTGTTAATCATTTATACGGAAACGAAAATACAATCGCTGCTGTACGATCGTCGGTGCTGCTAATAAGACCCTTCGCTGATTCTTTGATGAATTAGCAAAGTATTTTGCATATTATCATGCAGTCTCAAGCGACCCGCACATCTGTCGGCCGTTTATAGGCACTATATGATTGAATTCAACCATGAATACACAATTAACTGTCAAATTTGCATAGTGGAAGACGACATTTATTATTACCATAAAATTCGTACAGTCCAAATAGCTTTACATGAGCAAAAATTGTGCATGAGATCATCGCGCACTTTGATAACTGATGAGGTATAACAGCTCGTAATCTTTTCCAGTGCTATAGCTGCGAATTTGTGAACATAAACTTTGGCCACGTACTGAAGAAATCTTGAGTTTTAATTTTTCGTCATTGTGTGATTAGTCTTATGGTCATACCATGCTGCAATTGGGCCTTGGATGTCTTTGGAAGTGTGCTGTTGTGGACTTCTGAATGCTTCTCGAGAATTCTACGCATTAAGCACGGCTGAGCTCTGAAGCAGATAGTAAGACAAAGTTGAGAACCAAAATGCGTCGGGATGATCGTAAACAAACAGAGTAATTTGATTCCTACCCAGGGCTTGGCACGAGGTGGTTTTTGGAAAAATGCGAAAAACGAAGTCTTCACTTGACTTTCGCGAATTTTTACGAAGTCCCCTTTGACAACCTTAAATGTAAAAACGCACCAAAAAAGGGACTCCGACAAGTAAACGTCGCAATTTTTTTTGACTTTTTGGCCTCAAGAACGAGTCCCCTCCGCTTTTTCTCCCAAAAACGATATCCAGCTTGCTTACAAGCCACCTATGCCGAGCCCTGTTCCTAGCACTTCAAAAATTTTAGTCAAGAACAATACTTCAGCAGACAATCATTGTCTGTAGGAGGACCCTTCTTTTTGCTTTCAAAGCTACTCGATTCGCTTTCGGCAAAACTTTAACTATGCTTTTAGAAAGGTGCTATGTTGTTTCTGACATCTCTAAAGAATAGTTTTATTTGGCAAAAAAGCTACACGTAAGCAAAGTCATTCGATTTTTTACTCCAAATAAACTTTAGAAGTTTTTTGTTAGTAAAGAATTTTTATCATATTGGCCTAGGTTCAGAGCGGACGCTACGCGTCATTGATGGCAGTTACAGGCTTTGGCTAGCTTGCTATCATCTGTTTTAAGAGATCTTAACGGCGATTTAATAAACAACGAGTCACCAATCTAGAGTTGATGGAGCAGAATCATTTGGTTAACCTTGCGCAGAAATAATGAACTGCTTGTTGGTATTTTTATGAATATCAGTAACGAAATCGTGCTGTATTGCAAATTCACTTATAGGAGGAACAAGTTTTACGATCAAGGAATTAGCAGCTATAATTACTGGAGCTATAGTGCCGGCCATCCTGGCATCAGGCCACTCACATTGAGCAATGAGGCTTCGTCTACTTTCATGATGGTTCTCTATCCACTGCAATCGCTCGACACCATTTGAATGATGTACGAGCCTTTCAGCAGAAAAATAGTCATCTCAGTTTTTCTTTTTATGTTGAGAATTTCAGATTTGCATATCTTTTCTATTCTGCATTTTTTTCTTCATCGCCAAGAACTGTACAGATTGTATTACTATCTAGTATAAGAGAGCTTTTGAGCGTAACGAGGCCATATTGGTAGTTTTACGACAAAGGTTCTGATTCTTGAGTTTACCCACCCGTTAGAACTGTGTATCATCTGTGATTTATGGGCATGGGTAACATTACCAAAAGTATTCCCGACCAGTTTCTTTGTAATTCCTGCATGTCTTCGCACGGTTACTATATTGACAGTACATAAATAAATGCATATGAATTTGTTTATTGTATTTCAAATATGAAAAAAAAAAGAAAACATCGCTGCAAAGAGAAAACCGTAATCCCATAGTTCGGTTGGTTACAGAAACCGACACTCAAGTATTTGTGCTGATAACAGAACAAACTATGACTACTGCTCAGCGCTCCTTGTTTTGATCAGATACATATGAATTTTTGGAGCAAAATCCAGAAATGTCAATGAAAAATCTGAAAAAGGAAGACGACAAGGAGTTTGATGGCGCTAGTAAAAATAAACCAAGCTACTTATTAGAAAAACCATGGTTCTAAGCTGGATACAACGACAAAACGGGAGAAATCGTGGCCTACATACTCCGTGTAGAAGAAATTGATCAGATGACAACACACTACTTGTGATACACATAACGACAGCGAGGTCACACACGGTAAACTATGAAATATCACACAAAAATATATTCGCGCATTTGCGACATGTAGAATTGATACGCGGGAGCGAAACAAAAAGCATTCAAAAGAAATCATAAAAGGACTCGCGAGAGGGGCGTCCCACATGCACTTGTTGGAGGGAGATCGAAGAGTAACAACGAAAAGTAAGCAAGGAATAGGAGCATTCTGGCCACACACTGTCTGTGAGGGGGGGGGGGGGGTGCGCGAGAGGATCACATTTGGGCGCGCTGCTTTTGGGAGATGTGGACTTGGTTGTCAGTGCAAGACAGAACACACAATATGTGGGATATATACACAACACGAGGGCATTAGCAATTGTTCGGGAAAGCCTATAAGGCTGATGACAAAAGCTGAGACGATTGACGCTTGGGGGAACGTCCCGCGGGGTTAGTTCACCATCATGTTGGGGGTGGTTGCAACCGATGACGAGGAGGCGTTTGATGTCGTGGTTGAAGCAGGTGATGATTGCTGGGCTGGCTGCTGAAATCGCCATCATGATGTGGAGTTTGCTGAAGTTTGCACGTATCTGGTACATGATGAAAGCAATTCTACTATATCGTTCAAAAGTCAGATTTAGAGTTGAAAATTGAAGCTACGGATTCAGTGGAATGCGCCTAGGGAGGGAGGGTAAGACAAAAGATCTGCTCAGTGATCAGAAATTCTCCGTTCCGGTGTGTAATGTCCCGGCAATTTGAGTACCTCTTTTTTATGCGGACCGAAAGTTCCTAACTGATATTCAAGAAGCAGCTCATACAAATTGCTCATGGCCAAGAAATTCGATTTCAAACGTTGACCATTACCATACCCAAAAACGCCGGGTACGGTATTGGGCGACTGTTCATCATAGCGTTTCTCTCCCACGAATGAATCGCTTGAGCGGCTGTTTGAGCAGTAAAAGCCCTGGTAACCGGATTTGCCTGGATTTTAGATTTCTAACTGGAGCAACCTACGAACCTGTGTGTTCTGTTGCTGTTGCTGAGTTGTAGCTCCAGGTGCGCCTAGACCGGCGGCTTCTCTCTGCCTCTTGAACTCTTCGTATTCCTCGCCTAGTATGGTGGCGATTTCACTTTGCATGAACGCCCATGGCATAACGCTGCTGACAAGCGGGCATTTCTCTCCGGATGGGCAGTAGAGGTCCTAGGTGAGATAGATAGTAGATGTATCAATGTGAAGCATTCATTTTGCAGCAAATGTGACAAACCTGTCCTGTGCATTGTTTTTTGATCGATGTGCGAGAGCAGGGGAAACAGAACTTGTGAGCCGGTACACTAGGGCACTGTACGAAGTGCGTGTCCTCCAGCCTTTGATTGCACAACGTGCAGCGAAGCACTCGTTCTCTAGAAAAAAAAAGTATGAACATAGGTTGTTTTATGGTTGATGCGTGTCAGTCCACACTTCACTGCGCCGGTCAGAGTAAATTCAGCTCTTACCCAGTGGCAGTGAACCGTCTTCTCTCGGCATTCGTATCGGGATGATCGGGACTGTGTGTGGAGGTCGGTGAGACGGACGTAGTCTGTGCATCACCTGAAATCGTTCATTGTTACTTCCAGCTGTTTTTACAGCCCACGCAATGTTGTCCGTACTGCTTGCTGGCGTTTTGTGTGTCTGTTGCGTAACAGAGAGGTGAAGAGTCAAACGAGAGGTTGTGCAAGCACACAGCCGGTTTCACTTCGCGGCGAAATCGCGCGCACACGCTATTGATGCGCGATTTTGCGGCGCGGCGGTGCGATGCGCACACGTGCTCGTCAACACGACCTCGCTGCGAGCAAGCATATACACATAGAGAACACGCGGAATTCCGCGCGCTTGACCTGCGACGGATGATGGAGCTTGCGAGCGCGAGCACCCCCACGAAACCGGTCCTCCCGCCCCGGGTAAACATCGCGCACACCGCGCTCGCGAGCGACGACGTCGCTATCCTTTAAGTCGGTTCTTAAACCTGTGGGATGTGAACTCCATGAAAGATCAGCGTTCCATGGTACCTGTCGACCTGTTCAAGTGGATTTTCATACTACTGGACGAGACGTGCAGGCGACTGGTACGATCCGCACCGCGCGATCTCTGCGGGCGATAAACTCGCTGATTGGTACCGCGATTATGGAAAAAATGTCTCCTTAGGTCATCGACGATCATCTTCGCACATTCTTCACATTGGTACTGAGGATGAACGGCGGTGGCGGGTGAAATATCTTTTTGAACATGAAAAAGCTAGTTTTGCCCCAAGGTCTACCCACCTTGCTAATTTGTCAATTTTCATGAACAACTTTTTGTGAACTAATAACCCTTCTTCCCCCTCCCCCCTCATTTCAAGCGGTTTCTTATTTTGCTGGTAATAGGTTTACTACCGGTTTTTCTCTGTTCAGAGTGAGTCATCAACAATTTCCTTATCGCAAATTCAAGGAAAGGGCATAGTTCGTGGGTAACAGTGTTTGTAACCTTAATCCTGAGCAGATCGGAGACAGCAAAAAGAACTGGTCTTATGGCTGCAAGACTGAAACAGGAGGTTTGATAGTCTAAAAACATTTTCATTGCCTGCATATAAGATATGGATAACTACCAATTGCTAAGGACTTTCCTAAACAATGTAACTGCGGGTCCGCCTTATGTTAGCAATTTCTCTCAATGTCAGAAAATGCCCCGCTTTGCGATTGTACATATACTTGACGAAACAGAGATCGGAAAAAGTTTTTGTAACATTGTTGAACTGCAACTTGTGCGTGCACTTCACCTACTGACCAGCCCATAGCTGCCCTCATATTCAAGAGTACCCGCAATGTTCTTTTCGCGAAATCGCGCACCCGTGCCCTTCTTCCGACCCGACCACTACAGAGTTTTTGAATCGTTCCGTATCGAAAACATCACAATGTGTGTGTGCTTTTTCACTACGGTACTTAGCCCCATTAGAGAGGAGCGCTTAGTGTGTTGGGGGCTGTGGCCGGTTGCGTATCGGGTCAGCGAGGTCGCGGTGGCGCTCGTCCGCAACCAGTTGAATTGCGGATTGCGTAACCATTTTATGAGCGACGACGGCTGTCGGCGTCACAAATATCTCCCTCCCCCCCCCCCCGTTGGCCCGGGATAACTAGGCCGTCGACAACCAAAAAGAGGAAGATCGGACTTGAAAACGACGATGATGACGGGACGAGCACGGGCGACGCTGCTTTGCTGTGCGGGTTACGCAGACAATGGGGTCACGCATGTGAATGACGCGAGCGGTGGTGCTATTCGAGACGCTTATGCGATGATTTGGGCCAAATACGGGTTTTCCAGGTGTTTTACACAGGAATCTTGCGCAAACACAAGCAAATGCTGTTTTTGTGCACTTGGCTTGTAGGATACAGTCGAGAACTGACCTTGAAAGTAGTTTCGGGTGCTTAGATTGCAAATATCCGACACGGATAATTTTGAAATTTTACTTTAACAAATGACAGTGGTAGATCAAGCAAGTAGAATCGAAACCATTGAATTTAAGATATTTGAAAAATTAGACCACATCATCACAGTTTGTGCGATTGCACACATTGCTCGAGACTGCACACATTGCTTGTCCCTGATTGGCTTCCATTGGCCATGGGACATTTCTTCCGTTTTTTAGTCCTTTTTGATTTTTGTTTATTTTAAGCAGCCAAAAAAATCAGAGAAAGTTTTCTGAGCTCATGTATGCAAAATAAGCAAAATGGTCAACAAAATATAGAATGGAACGAGCAATGCGTGCAATGTGTGCAGACGCAGAAATCAGGCTAAAAAGTGCCTAGACTACAGGTATTTTCCCCCGTTTTGAGAGAAAGCTTCTTGACAACAGATTTGGGATGCAGATTATAAGCGTCCACGCTCATCTTCTTATCTCAGTCGTCATATTTTTCCTTATCTTCTGTCAATCGCTTGCAGTCTCTCCCAAATTTTTAGTATTATGGAACCTAATCAGTTGTGATTGTTGGCGCCATATCCTTTGAGATGGGAGAATAGATACAAAATGTAGAATAGCAACAAATTCATTTTCCCACTGAATACGAGTTCTACGTTGATAATATGTACCTCCAGTTATGTACCCACGTACTCATTGTACCTCTAAAATCCCTTGCCATAAATTTTGTAGCCGTGCGAATTTGTCCCGAGCGGGAAAGCGAGCTACATATTGTTATTTCGTAGCCCCCGTGAAGTCCCAAGACCATCGCGTTTTCGTAGTCAAAAGCGTGTCAGCGATATATTAGATGAATACAAATGCATCTCCCACTGCAGCGGCTTCCGTCCGTTTGGGTGGATGTCTGGCCTGTTCGAAGGTTCGGTTCATTCGCTATTCAGAGCTATGCTAATAGCATGCAAAGAGCGGATTAAGCTGCGCAGCGCGGCGAACGCGTCCTTAAAAATGAACTCGTCAAATGCAAAAACTCTAATTATTGCCGGAAAAGGCTTAACGGAGTGATTTGAATAATGAACTGCTCTGCAAAGAGGACATTTTAGAATTTCAGATGAGCTCTAAGGGATGGGGGTGATGTGAAGGAATGCAAATAGCCTGGCAGGGTGGCGCTTATCGAGGTTGAAGTCCAAAGGTGAATCTCCCCTAAAAGTGACCCCCTTGCACCCCTTTACCACGTAACTTGGCCAGCTACACACTTGTGTCGGGGTCGTGCGGCGGATATTCTCGGTGTCGGTACCCGTTGGCACGGGGGGCGAAGAGGTCGTCGTCGTCGTCGTCGAACAGAAAGACCACATCAATCGAAGCGACGCAGTGATGAGTGCGACGTAAAGATCGCGGGTTATGTGGAGACACAGCGCGAGTTCATCGGAAACCGGTTCCCATCCCGCAGAAAACCGGGTTTCACCCCCGACACCGCCGCCACCATCGCCTCCTCTTGCGCAACAGACACACACACGCAATGCGCACTTTAGCCTTTCGATGTCGAGCGAGAGTCATGCGAGAGCGCAAGCGCAAGAATTATTCGTAAAAATAGCATGCGGAAGAATTCGCAAGATATTCTAGGTATCGCCCCCCCCCCCCCCAGAAACCAGTCTTCAAGCTCTCACCTCGTTGAACTTTGCCAAACAATTCGGGTTTCACATCATCGTCATGCTCTCGTTTCCTGTTATTCATCACGGCATTCAAACCAGCCGGCAAGATTCCATTCATAAGCTGGGATTGAAATCCCATTTGGACGGCTAAAAATGCACCTTTAAACCAAATTAGAAAGTCAGAACTTATGAAGACTCTTGACACGAACCTGGATGCAAGAGTTGTGTATTTAATGGGGTTCGAAGCTGTTGTAGCATGGCAATATCCTCAACGGAGAGACCTGCACCCTGGCCACGTGCCAAGGAAAATAGCCTTTGTTGCTGGGCTAGGACCTGGAAAGTATGTGACTTAGGGCTTGGAAAATTCACTGGTTGTGGATGCCAGAAAGAATCAACGAACATCAGTGATTTGTGCAAGTTGGGATGGAAGTTGAGGGACATGGGGTTGCGGAGGTACAGGGATTACTCTCTGCGGGCTAAGTCTTCCAGCTGTCGTCGTTGACGGTTGCGGAAGTTCCTTCTGTAACAAAATTAATTTTTCTAGGCTTTGCAGTTGACATAAGATTTTTAAATTCAACCGCGAGGAGAAAGAGGGGGAGGGGGTACCTAAAAATGCGCAGAGGAAAGAGTTGAGGTATTTTTACTCATTTTTTCCCTTCCTGGATTTTGAGTCTGATCACCGTTATTGCCAGGCAAACAATCAAGTATCAACCCTTGAGACTGTGGCTAGAAATACAATCCAAAAGTGAAATTCTGCGCAAGGAACCGTTTTTGTCTACATTCCAGAAGCGAATTCGTGAAAATTCTGTAGCTGCTTATTTGGACCGTTACATGTCAGTTCTCATTTCAGATCGATAAAATCGATATATCGATATAACCCTTATTTTTTGCCTAATACCGTAAGCCATGCCTGGATAATAAACCCACACTTATGACATCGTCTGGACTTGGATCTAGTGGAAACCCAGTGTCATTTATTACTCTTAATCAGCACTTCATTTCGCACAAGAAAAAGTTTCGAGCTTCCTTTGCGTGATGTCGGAAAACATAGATTCAAAGAAACTAGGGCCCTCTAATTCTTAATCTTTTCTCCTGATTTTTTGGTGGCACCATCCAGTATTTCTTCTCATCGTTCCCAGTTATAGTTGAATTAGAAAAACCCGCGTGACTATGATTTACTCTCGGCGCTTTGAATGGCTCATATCAACACACAGCTAGAATAGATGACTACGTAGTAAAAGCGGCGCTATCCAGTTTTCGGCAGCCCGGCTGACGTGTCGTGGCCGTCATCGTCACGCCGTCGAGAGTTGTACTACGAAGCAGCACACGAGAATTGTAATGAGGCCTAACCGGTGCCGGTCTCGCCACGAATAATCGAAAGCGCTGCGATTGTCGAAAAAGCTGCGTTATCACGGCTGCTCGAGGGTCTTTAGCTATCAGTTTGTAGCTTGTAGCCACCGCAGTTCGAGGATTTGTACTCTGCTCGATCTCTTTGCGAAAAGAAGATGTAGCGAGCGATTTGTATGATTGTCAGAAATGATTGTTGATAAGCGCTCGGCGATAAGAGGCAATGTTTTGAAAAATTGCACAAATACCTGTGGTTGTCGTGTTGATGGCACATCACTGATAGGAAAACCATGCACTCTTTTCATATTGCGTGCGTGTTCGATCACATTTTCGATTCTGAAAATGGAGCAAAGAACTCTTCAGGAAGATATCACTAACATTTCTTTTTTGGGGAAGCCCTTCCGAACCCTGCAGCCTTTTTTCCCGTCCCAAAAAAATTCCCCACACCACCCCACATGCTCCGTATCTCTTTTTGTTTATCAACCTGTCACTAAAAGAGCAAAGGCCATCTGGCTTGGGCAATCACTTCGAAGTAGCGCTTTGCGGGTACTTTGTCCCTCCATCACTGGTTTTGGGTGCGTGTCCGATAAGATAAGGCAGATAATCGACGTCCTCATTTTTTCACAATGTCAAATCGAAAATGACTAGAATTTTCTATGGAATTCGAGGAGTACTAGATATGGACATTATTCTTGTCATTCCCCAGATGGCAAGATAACACAGTCGCACTGCAGAGAGGCAAAACCATAGGGTGATTCAGTGGCTACGATTTGTAAGAAGTCAATGGATGTTGCGATTTGTAGTATGATAGTACAATTTCTTACCAAAGCAGCAATTGTGATGATAAATTTAATCGTTTCAGTGTTACTGTTAAAATTTTTTTGCAGCATTTAAAGCCAAAATTATTAAGTTATAGAAACATCAATAAGATTTGTTTAAAGGCTTGTGAAAATTTTTATAAAGCTTGAAGTGGTGTGAATGTGTTGTTGAAAGTTTTAGATAAGTAAAAAAAACTTTTTTCGTTTTTGTTAGAGCTTAGTTGAAGAAAATCTGAGCGCACATAAGTGACCAACTATATTTGACCAGTAAGCTTGAAGATTACTTATGGAGGTTTCTTGGTTTGAAATATACACTAACATAGAAATAAAAAATTCAATTTTGTAGTACATATTTTCGCAGTATTAGATTTTTGGCACAAAGATGGTACGATCATGACTTGTAAGATGTCAAAAAGGCAATAAAATTCGGAAAATAATCACATGACAAAAGAAACAAAATTGCGACATTGAGAGTTGCATTTTCTGATCGTAATAGCTCAAAAGATGATATTGATGACATGATGGATGAATCATTCAATGTCAATAAACATTCGCAAATTGACTGGCTAAGCAAGCATGGATGGATGAATCATGAATATCTGCAATAAAATCGAGCAGAGGTTTTTTTTTCTTGGTTTTTTTACGCCTTCTCAAAATTATAAAAATCTCCTCTTTCTTTCCTCTCTAGGTTACTCCATACAATTTTTCACTTCCAGGAAAAAATGCTTGTAGGAGGAAGAGGGGGAGGAGGAGGGGGGGGGGGAGGAAGATCTGACGTACGAATGGGGATTTCGCGCGGAACTGCTACCTGGCTCACACCTAGCTCGCTCTCGCCTGGCATACCCACGCCCAAAAATCTCAATGAAGCCCGGTTTTTTCAGAGATGGATGGGTAAGAAATGCTTACCTATCGGCTCCCTCATAATTGACGCATCCGCGACATACGGGCTCGACATAGTCCGTACACATGGCCCAAGGCCATCTGGGTAGGTCGCAGAGGTAGCAGTGTTGTCTTTGAGCAACTTTCGCGGCGTTAGGAAGCCCGGCCTGAGTCTGCCCGTTCATCGTTGCGAGCATACTGGAACAAAAAAATATTATTCACCTTGCAAAGTTCAGCAAAAATTGAGCCACGAACCGAGAAAAGTAGAAAAATGCAAAATCTTCTCAGGGGCAGATTTGTTGTGTTAACAAAGCACAGCTACGCGAGAAAAGAGCTACACACAAAGTGCTATATGTGAGCGAGAGTTTTTTCACAAGAGACGAGGACATTCGCACGGCTACGATTACACCACCCAGGAGACTAAGATTAATTTTTCCCAGCGAATTTGAACCACATCTGGGAGGATACAAAATCTGGGCAGAGTGAGGACGTGATGGTGGTGGATGGTTGGTGGTTTGTTGCAGTTCGTAATATCCATTGGCGGAATTTCAGGTCACCCCTAACAGGTTTTCGAGCATCGATTTCTCATCAAACACCTACTTTCGAAATTTTGGTGTGAAGAACTGGAAAGTTGAACTCTTGGAAGTGAGATTTTTGCAGTTATTTAACAATTTAAACTTTTTGAAATAAGAAGATCATCACTAAAAGTTAACGTACCACAGGCAAATTTCTATTGCAGTTTGATTCACCAAAAACAGATTTCTTAATTGAATGAGGGAATGAGACAGGAATTCTAGTGAACTTGGGAAAAATTTTCTTTCAACTAGCACACCAATCGCCTCTCGCACCCACCCAAAACGTGACATCACCCGACGATAAGAGACATGTGTGGAAGAAAATAAAGTCACGAGGTTTGGTTATCCAGACGTAAAAGTCTAGCCGATAAGGTTCGCGAATAGTTTTAATCGTCTACGGCTTCTTGAATAATCAGGAAGTGTCTGAACACAGGAGAAGAAACATCAGAACATATTACTCTAAAATCAAGTTGATGAATTGGAAAAATTCTGGCAGTAGCCTTGCATTGTCGTTTTTTTTTCGTGGAGCAGAGAACTTTGTAATGTGCTGGGATAACCACGACGACTCATAACGACGTCGTCGAAGCACCTGATATGGTGTGACAAGCGGCCGGCTGATTACCGGATAGCGGCGCGGCAACGGCGGCCGGTGAAGAGCCGAAAAAGAGCGGAAGCAGATGGAAGTAGGAAGATGAGTAGAAAGTGAATGGCTCGGCACTTCGGGCACTCCGAAAAGGACCAGAATCCAAGGAGGGGGGGGGGGGTGAGGTGATGATGATTGTGTGCTGATAGTGGGTGCAGCAACTAGGCTGGCAGCCGACGATGACGACGATATGTCGCCGTCGTCGGCGCTGGCGCTCGCCCGACATCTCTTCGTCGTCCGTCCGCTCGTCTGACTCAAACGCTGATTCTGACGATGAATAAGCGGCCCGAAATAACGTTGCACATGTGCTTTTGACGAGTAAAAATACGTTCTCCTCTTATGGTGTGGGAAGCAAGTGAATTTTAACTGGTAACGTCGCTAATTTTTCTCTTGAAAGTGCAACCGAGATAGGGAAAAAGGAAGAAATACTACACCACGCTATACTTGCGCCGAAAATAGACTCATAAGTGCAAAAAGTTTTTTCAGCGAATTGCTCAATACCTATAGCTTTCCCATAATGAATCTTTCCAAATTCCAAGCCAGAAAGTTCAAACCAAAAGAATTGGTAATCAAACAGTTTGTGATTTTTCGCACAATAAATACTGAAACTTCTTAGTCTTCTCTACGACTGCTGACGGAAATTATGAAGCCAAAAAGCTTAAAGTCAGCACTGCTTACTTAGAGTTCAAACACTCAAGAATAAAAATCTCTCGCCTCCCCCCCCCCCCTTTAGCACCCACTGATAACAACGCAATCAGTCCTTACGCAGATCATTCAAAGTGTAAACAGTCATTATACAATCGTTTTATGGGGAATAAATTTTGAATAAAATATCAGCGAAGTTTAAGGACCTCAAAAATTTCAAAAATGCAAAGTTACCAGAATTACTACATAGTTCTGGCAATTTTTTGAGAAAAAAATATAAAATAATTGATAAGCATGATAAGTGCTAGACTGAATAGCATCAGAGCTCAACAGATGGGTCGATAAGTCAATATTTGAAACAAATTAGCAATTTTCTGACTTTTTTGGACAAAACTTGCATTTTGCTGAAGTGTTTTTTGCAAAGTTGCAATGTGGAATTTCTAGCGACTTTTCTTGAAAAAATGGGGTAGAGTGAATGGCCAGCTATATAAGAAAATCTATTTATAGTTAATTTATCAAGACAAGAGATATACCAGAGCTAAGATGAGGCTGATGAAGATAAGCACAGTAACCGCAGCGTTCGTTGTTTGGCTGCGGTTCAACACTGAGTGAGAGGAAATTCGTCGTGGTCGTCGTCTCGAGAAGAAGTCGGCATGCATCTCATTAGAATCTCATTTGGCCGTGCATATAATTTCGCCGTTAACATACGGAATGCACGATGAGATGCCGGTGGCTCCGAAGAGTAGAGGAAAGAGCCCCAGCTGCAGCCCAGCAGCCGTTAGTAGTCAGTCGACCAGCAGCCAGCACTCGGCCAGAGCGCTCGTGACGAGACTGGGACAAACCGAAACGAGGAAATCGTCGGAGGTAAAATCGGGTCGCGTCGCGCGACTCGTCGACGACGTGGGGTCGCGCAGTCGCGCGCGCATCGCGCTGTGGCTCCCGATTTGGGTCGCGATCGCGCCGCGATTAGTCGTGTGGCGTCGCGCCGCTGCCCATGCGATGCGACTCGAAAAGCACTGCCGTTGTGGCCCTGGTTTTGTTCCACGCTCCGCTCTCTGACTCCACACCATCAACAATTGATAAGAGCATGTTCGGAACTGATAATAGCGCTCTGATCGACGGCACCTCTCGAGCGCTCCACGACGCAGCGATGCAGGGTTGCACTGTCCCCCAAAAGAAAGTGAGACTTTGGCACTCGTCTGCGTTATCAGCTGCAAAATTTCATTCCACGTTTTCACGAGACTTGTTGCACTCATAAATTGTTGTACACAATCTGAAATTCAAACGCGCCGTCACGAGCAGTTTTGATGGGTCTTGCGGGGAAGACTAGATGTAAGAGAGAAGCAATAATTTCGGTAGATATCAGACTTTGATGTGCCAAATAATTTTGGCTCGAAAAAACGTCTTAGATATGATATCTCATCGGTTTCGCAAAAATAAGGTAGATGGGTTGAAGGAGGGAGGGGGGAGGGAGAAATTAAAGTGCTGCTCCTTTACGACTTGCTTCACATCTCATATTTGTTTCATATCCATCTTTGACTTCACTTCTTGCATGAGAATAGGTTTCTTAGACGCAACGGAGTGGGCGGGGTTTGCCAGCATGGAGGCGGGGCTAACCACTTGGAGGAACGACCCGAAAATTGAACCCAAATAAGAGTTAATGAGAATTTTTTATTTTTTTCGCACATTCTACTACAAGTAAATCACACTTATCTGACTAGATTTTTTAGGAATTAGAAAACGTCACAATACAAAGAACGGGCTTGGCTCCTAAACGGCATGCAAAGAGAAGACAAAAAAATGCATGATTTTTCTTTGACCAATTAGAGGACAAATTTTTTTATCAAACAAATTTTTTCATCAATCTATTTTCCATTCGCATGGAAAGATGTAGAAACAAATGCAAACTGGTAAACAAGGACATTACGATGCAATCGCTTTTGATTTGAATATCGCATTTTGATTTTTCAGCTATAAACTCTCCTCGTCGAGCAATAAAAGTTAGAATCACCGGCAAAAAATAGCAAAAAACGATGAATATGAATGATTATGGAAAAAACACAACTGTATTCGATATATCGGTCGGCGGCAATGTAGCGCGAATTTCGGGCCGAGAAATGACGCATTGTTAAAAGCAACAGAACAGGCAACGATGACGAGTGCTTAGTCGACGCTCGAAGAAATTTAATCTATTCCGTTTCAGGCATGGCAAAACGCGCACTTTGCTATAGCAAAGCGACTCGTCACTTTTGGAACATCTGTTGGGCGAGAAAAAAACGGGGAGAGAAAAGTGAGAGAGATTAGGGGAGAGAGGAGAGAAGACGAAGCAGTAATGAGACAAACCAGTTCTTTGTAGAGAGAGTGAACGGACACAATTGGACATCTCACACACACGCAAGAATCGCGCGTGACACCTGGAACAGACCGCCGGAGCACGGGCACATCAAAACCGAACGCCGAAGACTTTGTCCACCCCCCCCCCCTTTCCCCGGGTGGTTGTGGACGGGGTCGATCATCGGAGAAGAAGCGAAAGGAACGCGCAGAATTTGCGAGAATGCGCGAGATTTTTGAGATCCACGGGGGAGATGGAAGGAGGTGGTGGAGAAGATGATGTGCGCGGCGGTTACCCCTTGCCCCCTCGAAATTATAGCCTTATTTGGAAGACGATGCGATGACGTTATACTAGCGCTAGTTCGGTGACGCGACCACACGTAACGACACCTTGTTGACTGAGGACTGAGGTTGAGGTGAAAGAGGACCGACGACGTACGGACGTGGACGTATGGACGGAGTCGAAGTGCGCGAGTGACCAAACAAACTTCTTCTTGGACAAATACGGAAGTTCCGTCAGAGCATTTCGCCAGCGTTGACACAGAAGCAAATGCTAGCGCGCCGAGCTGAGCTGAGCGTGATGAGCACAGCTTGCGCGAAAGCTCCAGAAAATGCAAAAATTCGACTTCAGCTTTCAGCTGTTCGATTTCGGGTAAAAAAACCCCTCATAGTGCTAATCGCCCCGAGTGCAATTTACAAAAAAGCGAACGAAGCAGCGGAAGGAGGAAATCACACCACGAGAATCACGATCGCGACCTGACGCTCAGGTCGAAGTTCGCAAACATGCGACACGCAAGCTCAAACCGGCGCGCGAGCGAGAGCGAGACGAGGTAAGACATTCGAGTTTTTCTCCACAAAGTCAAGCAAGAGATGCGGCAAACATCCTCGGAAAAACGCTCACAACTCGGGAGCAAAGTCTAGGAGACATTTTAGAACTTGCTCGAACTGGAAACTCAAGTTCGCCGAGCACAAAACTGGCGCCGTGCCAGCTTCAAAAAGTTGGAAACTCATAGAAGGCATATAAATCTTCCAGGTCAAAGTTCCAGGGCAAAGAATACACCTGATAATAGCTCAGAATAATCTCATTGCTCTTACCATCAGATAAAATACCTAGTGCAACACAACAGCTTAAAGAATCTGCAAACGCACACATTGAACGATGTCAATCAAACTGACACGATGGTGTTCTTTGTTGCGTATAAAGTGATAGCCCACAATAGCCTATAATTACTGATAAGATAATGTTAAACACATAAAACAGTTTTCAAATGTGTTAAAGAAAGTTACGAGGTCATTAAAGGAAATTTTACTCGTTTTTCAAAAACTAGAGGCGGCAAAAAATTATATCTTTCAATATCCTTTTCTTGTAAAGAAATGGCCACTTAAATTTTTACAAGTTTCCAGACATTTTACTTTTTTTAGCATCAAAGTTCCGTCAGCCTACCTACCTACTTAGAGGCTGACGATGTGAAATCCAGAAGAATTCTATAAGTTTTTTTTGTTCTAGGACCCTAGTCGTTTTCCTCCACATATCATTTATTCCAACATCATTAATCTGTCTTAAAGACTTGAAACATTCTTTCAATTTTCACAAAATGCCAGGATTTTGAGGATCCCTTTGATTTCCTAAAAAATTGTTTCTTTTAGTTGCATTTCTTCTGAAATCATAGTT